ATGGTGGATATATATATATAATATAAATATATATATATATATACACCCTCTGGTGATTTAACATAGCCATGGAAAGTGGCGCATTTATAGATGGTTTACCTATTAAAAATTGTAATTTTCCATGGCTGTGTTAACTAACCAGAGGGTATATATATATTTCCAGTTATACCAAACAATGACCACACGACCTTGGGGAAATTCTTAGCATCGAATTGGACTCTGTCTGACAGATCCAAATCGAGCGAGAAGATGACGTTGCAACCAACGGGTGATTTTTGTCGACTTTCTCATGATGGATCTTTCAATATGGCGGCTGGGACCAATGGTTTTTGCCCAATTTTCAACTATTAGGAGTATAGATAGATATCAACTATGTATACATTAAATGATATCTAGATATGGGTCTATCTGAAAATATTAGTGAGACCCGAAAATAGCCAGGCAATAATAATGGGAAAGTTATTAAATCAATCATCCTATTTGGAGGTATCCCATAGGTTGGTGTTGGTATATTTCGGATATATACATAACATATATAGTGCCATGACATCCCAACATATATTGGGATTCCATGGTCATTCCAATTTTTTCTATATCCCAACTATTATAGTTATAATATACAACTATATATATATATCCCAACTATATCCCAAATATATCCCAACTATTCTGGTTAACATATATAGATATTATTAGATTTACACTACTTACATTGTCATATATATATATTTAAAATAAATCCCATTTAGATAACCAAGGTAACGATAATGTTAATTATATCCCATCTACAAGGTGGGCCCCCCAGTTATAAGATGGTTTATAAACCCCATTAACTATAGTTATAGGTACCATAAACCATAGTTATTGGAGTTATGTGCACCAACTTAGCTATCGAACGGGGGCCCCACTTTGTATGAAACTACAACCATTAACACAAACCACCCATGACTGGTACATCCCAGGCCACAGCCATTGCGGCTGCTGTGGTGGATGACGACCTGCCGGAGGTCAAGGGCTCCAAGTTACCGCCCGTGGCTGGGCGAAAAAAAGTGGTCTACCGAAATATCCATGGAATTGCTTGGTGGATTCTTTTTGTAATTTATGTATATATATATACATATACAATATACTATATATATAATTTATATATTATCCGTAATTTATCCATGTAATACTATATATATATATTATATATATATATACAAAGAAGAAGCTATCCAGATATAAAGTATGCTCTGGAACCATAAGGTACCGAACTATATAACATACGGTGAAGTTTTTTCTTTTATATGACATGGTTACAGACGATGGGTTCTTGTTGTGGTTGCAACATACTCGCGTATCTCTCATATATAGGTCTTATGTATGAATATATATATATATGTATAATAGATAAATAAATAAATAAATATATATATATATGTGTATGTAAGTACATGTGTATGCTTAGATTGTGCATATACATTGCCTCTTCATCTTCGAGTGCCGGTCACTTATTTTTCCATCGATGATTCGAGGCGAAGCTACTGCTCTGCACCTTGCAGCTGAATGATGAGGTGCATCGATGAGATCATCCATAAATCCAAGCTATGTTTCTGAAAACCTTGGGAAAAAACCCATATTTTATGGCAGTTGAACATCGGGAACATGATGAACCATGATTCAATTTGCAGGAGGGTAACCATCCAAAACTGGTTCCTGGATGACCATTGGATGATCATTGGATGATCATTGGATGATTAGGGCGTGAAATAATTTATCCAATGGATGTTTATAATGACCAAATTAGGACCTCAAATATGATCCAAATTAGTGTTGGATGATTGGGTAACCATCTTAGGATATTTATAATTTGGATCATAAGATGTCATCTCGGTAGGGGGTTAACCATCCAACACCATTTCGTTCCATGTAATGGAATGTAATGGACCACTATGATTCAATGATGAATGGCAGCTCAACGATAATTCACTATTGGGTTGTTGACTTTCCATTCATATTTCCGGCGATTAAGCCACTATGTTTGGTGGTCAATCACCTCATGTTTTTCTTGGTGTTTCTTGGTGAAACCCTTCCCCCTTTCGTCATGAACATTCGCAGAAACCCCAATGGAATTCCAGCCGCAGGATCTCACCACAGTACTCCAAGAAGCCCTGGCACAACGGCCGTGGTTGACGGCACCCGTGAAACAGGTGACTGCCTGGTGGTGGAATGAAATGTGGATAACATGTGGATATACCATCTGGTTATTTGTCACAGTTCACCATGGAAAGATCCACCCATTTTTTAAGTTCGGTAAACCATCTATTTCGATTAGGGCCATGTATACCATGGCGAACTCTAACAAATAACCAGATGGTATATATAGATATCAATCAATATCTCATAGAATTGGATGATGGGAAAATTTTAACCGGAAACCCATATATTTGATGGTAAAAACCATGGTTTCCTGTAGATTTTCCCTTAAACCAATCCATTGAATATCAATATCCTTAATGAGAATTGGTATAGGTTTTTTTCAATCCAGGGAACTCAGAATTCCGGGAACGAAAAACGGAGCGAAACAACGGAGCGAAAATCATGGAACCATTGGATGTTTTTACCAAGGAGATAATGGTGAGTCATCCAATAATATCTGATGGTGTTTGTCCAAAATGTAGTGTACATATATAATCATATATATATATATATATGGTAACTACATTATGGTAACCATATATATATATACACACTCCACTTTATGGTAACTTGAATTCAAAAACTCAAATTTCGGACGCGAAGACGACGATACTTTTGCATTTTCATGGGGATTCCAACAGCTCAGCCCTCCAACAGCTCAGATGCCTCAAGAAAGCCGGATTTGTTGCGTATCCAGGTAACATGGACATTCAAAAAAACCCGTTAACATCCAGGTACCCTCTGGTTATGTCAAAATAGCTGTGGAAAATCACCATTTTTAATGGGAAAACTCACTATTTCTATGGTGATTTTCCATAGCTATGTTAGTTTACCAGAGGGTATACCCCCATATCCTGATGTGATATCCCCAGTTTTGTTGGTTAAATCACCATGGAACCATCAAACATGGCAACGGAACATCCCTGGATGATTTGGCCAGGCAATCATGGAGCATTCAACGCCTCAGTGAGGGTGAAGACTCTGAAGACTGGGAGCGGCCCTCGCAGTTATCATTTTGTTGTTGTGATATGGGGTATCTTCTATGCCTATTAAATAAATAAATATATATATATATACATATATATATATCTATACGTATGTATATGTATGTATATAAATATATTATACATATGTATATATATATATTATTCATGTACGTTTGTGTATATTCTACGTGTCTTTTCTATTCTGTAACCCCAGCTAAGAGTAGTTAAAAACCCCAACTCTTGTCGGTGGCCCATGACTCTGGACCGAGTCTATGTCGTTAAATCTCCGATTTTGACAATAGCTTTGTAGAAATAAGAGGCTGAGAGATGGATATGACAGCAAGCATTATGTATTCCTCAGCAGCCATGATATCTCAATGGTTCAGCAGGATTCATCCGCATTTATCTGTCAGATTCGCTTCAGAATTGCACCATGACAATGACGTCTCCGCCTATCCGGGCCGGGCCTATCCAGTCTTCACAAGGTGGTCAATCACCACCAGTTCACTCCAGATGCTCCGTCAAGACACAACTATGGAAAATCATGATTTCGAATTTGTTTCCAAATCATCTATAGTTGGATAGATTAGTTCATCTATAGTTGATGGGCCATGTTTCTAATGTTGAAATCATCTATCGTCAATGGGCCATGTTGCGATGGAGGCTACAGGACATCCAGGATGTAGCCAAAGTTTCCAGTGGTTCTGCCTGGTTCCCACTCGTGGACCAGAGTTCACTGCGACCTGCGACCAAAACTGGTGCGCATGCCACGTGCCTTAATGATGCTGACCATGCTGACGCCCCTGCCCTGACTGCCCGAGTTTTTGAACAGTGATTTCCAGATCGCCGGGTGGCCCAATATTTCTTGAGGTTATATATAACATATATATATATCATGTATATGTATATACAAAACACACATATATATATATGTATGTATGTATGTATGTAATGTATGTATGTATGTAATGTAATGTAATGTAATGTAATGTAATGTAATGTTTTGTAATGTAATGTAATGTAATGTAATGTAGTGTAATGTAATGTAATGTAATGTAATGTAATGTATGTATGTATGTATAAAGCGTATATTTACAGATGTATGTATATATATGTATATATATATATACCATATATATATATATGTATGTATATGTATGTATACATATATGTATATATATATATGTATATATATATATATGCAAATCATATATATATATATATATAACACACATATATATATATAACATATATATATAACATATATATATATACACCATATATATATATACACAACATATATATATATATATATACACAACATATATATATAGCAAATATATATACAACATATATATATACAACACACATATTTATATACAACATATATATATATATATATAACATGTATATATATATATATATTGTGAATGTCCACATTTCACCAGCACTTGCCGGGTTTTTCTCATGAGGCGTTCATCCAACGCCAATTCAGCTTGAAGTGCCGCAGGAACCGAAGGCTCAGGGAGCCCGTTGTAAGGTGCAGGGTAGGGAGGGCATAGCTTCCTTGGAGCCATAGGGCATAGCAGCTTGGTGGTCGAGGCCGACCGGATATCGCTGTGGGATCAGCGTGGTCAAAAGAAGCTTGCGAGGCAGCAGCTTGGAACTTGTTGTGACAGGTGTCACTTTGGAGGATTCTGGATTGGGAGCTACCCCCATTAACATTGGTAGCGGAGCCCTCGACACAGTGTCGAGGGCATCCAGGGGGGCTACCGAAGGCACCAGACTGACACAACAGGCAGTGCCAACCTTGGCATTGGGGCGTGACAGCACATGCCGGCGGGAAGTGACGGATCGTCTGGGACGGAGGTGACAGAGACTGGAGGCAACATCTCCAGCCAACTGGCTTATCTGGTTCCAAGTTTTGACCCGAGCAAGGATGATTTACAGTTATACCAACAAAAGGTACAACTGGTGTTCGCAGTGTGGCCACCATCGAAGGTCTCAGAGCTCATCACACGCCTAATTTTAGGCACCACTGGCACCGCCTTCGCCAAACTGCAGCTTCACCATACGGAGTTGTGCACCAATGATGAGAAGGGAATCAAGAAATTGATAGAACTTCTGGGTGGACACTGGGGAAAAACAGGCCTTGAGAGGCGCTATGCAGATGCTGAGAAGGCACTTTTCCAATGCAATCAACTCAGTGACGAGAGCCACGACAGTTTCCTGGCGCGAGCTGATGTGTTATGGACAAAGTTACTGACACAGAAGCTGGAAATGGAGGACCTTCAAGCATATGTGACTCTCCGAGGGTCCCTGCTGTCAGTGGAGGACAAGAAGAGAGTCATCATTGACAGTGACAATTCCCTGGAAGGAAAGTTGACGATGGTCAAAGTCCGTGAGTCAATCAGAATGTTGGGGACCAACTTTTTCCAGGAAATGACCGGAGTGAAGAAGGGCACCAAGTCCAAGGTGTACGATCAGTTGCTTTTGGTGACTGAGGACATGGAGCATGCAGGAGATCACGAAGATCAAGCACATGTAGCTGGTCATGATGAGGTCATGGAAGATGATTTCATTGAAAATCTGGCGCAAGAAGGAGATGAGGACGCAGTCTTCGTGGCAGATTTTGAGATGGCTGCTACGGATGTGATACAAGGTGATGAAGATCTTGCAGCTGCATACACGACGTACTTGGAGGCTCGTCGAAAGCTGAGCGAGAAATACAAGGCTCGTGGGTTCTGGCCGATTTCCAAAGGGAAGTCCAAAGGATTCAAGGGAAAGTTCAAGGGCAAGTCCAATTGGACTGGCCGGAAGACGCTGCAACAGCGCATCCTGGAAAGCAATTGTAGGATTTGCGGCCGAAAGGGCCACTGGAAGAGCGAATGCCCAAATCGAGGTCAGTCAACAGCCAGTTCGACAACCTCGACAGCGCCCATCACTCTCTCCATGGGAGTATCGTCCATTCCAGCCAGCGATGTGATGTCAGCAGAGTTCATGAGCCTGCCCGAAGTTGCACCAACCGCACAGGACTCCAATGGAACACAAGAATTTTGCTTTGTACAGACCAGTATTTTAGGTGCCTGTGGTAAGAGTGGGGTTCATAGAGATCCGAATAACATGAGGGGTGTAAGGGAACGAATTAGGAACCATATTAAGGGTAATAAGGGGAATAATTCGAGAGTTGCATCCCTGGTGAACAGGATTGAGAGCCGCCTGTTGCCTTTCCGTGCACCACCTGCAGTGAACCGTGATGCATCCGTGTACAGACAACCCATGCCAGGGGTTCAGTGTTCCAGTCCGCCGTGCCGTAACAATGACAAGGAATCCATTCTGGATTTCAAGCCTGCGCCCAGGACAGAGGTGCCGAAGAGCCCAATGTCCAAAATCCCTGATGCAGCCGCTGAGGTACTTTTTGCAACCCATGACACATGGGGTATCCTGGATACTGGGGCCACCAAAACAGTGATGGGAAGCGATTTTGTACCAGGTTTTTTACAAAATGTTCATGCCAGTGTCAGAAGCAAGATTCGCAGGTGTCCCTGTGATGTGACGTTTCGCTTTGGAAACCAAGGAACTCTCAAGTCAGCTCATGCAATGGTTGTACCAGTTGGGGGGTTTGAACTCAAAATAGCGGTGGTCCCAGGGGCAACACCGTTTTTGGTGTCCAATACCCTTTTGAGAGCCTTAGGAGCCATGATAGATACAGGTGCGAACAAGTTGATTTTACCAAAACAAAATCATCAGATACCACTGAAGTTGTCAAGCAAGGGCCTGTATCTAATTGACATGAACATGCTGCTGCAAATGCCTCCTCAACATGAGGGAGTTTGCCAACCTGCCGAGACTTTTGCACAGGAGTCCATCGAAAAGGAGATCAAGGTTACTCCAGCGAGGGATGAACATGCCATGATGAATCAGAAAAGTCAAGCCGAAGTACAAAACTGCCTCAGAGAGATTGATGTACAAACATTCAAAACAAATCTTCAAAGCCACAACATGAATGAAATCCCAAAAGAACAACCTGAAGTGTCACAACAGCCGAAACTTTCCGTGAACGTTTCACAGCTGCCATCATCAGTTTTTCCATGTCCAAAAGAAGCTGAGATCGCCGAGAACTCTGCAGTTCAAGCCAGCATTCCCAGGGATTTCCCTGAACGAGTATCGCAGTGTCATGGGCGACTGGACCAAGAGACTCCAGCGCTTGCAATCCGAGATGCCAGCGGCCGAGACCGAATCGGTCGATCACATGTCCAAGGAGGATCTCCAGCACGAGAAGGTGACGTTCGGCAAAGCTCACACGGGCAAACGGTTCTCCGAGGTTTGGGAAACATCCCAAGACTGGGTGAAATGGTTCCTGATGCACTATCAGGACAGCTCCAAGCTCGAGCACAAGAAGATGATCCGGTACATCAAGTTGAAGATCGAGGAGGGAGAGGCACATGGATCTGGGGGCCCCACGCCCTCGTGTCGTCCAAAGCCAAAGCCAGCACCGAAGTCGCTGGCAACGGCCAGCCGGACCGGGCCACCGCCTCACCCGGATGCCATGCCGGAAGAGCCTGGAGAGAACCCAGAGGTGAAGACCTTGGAAAACCGCATGACCAACCTCGAGAATGCCCTGCACCAGATCCTTGTGTATCTGACGCCGAACACCGCCGGTGCTCCAGTCCCATCGAACCTGGGAGAAGAGTCTCCGGAACTCCCTCTGGTTGCGGAATGGGAAGATCCATGGGAGGCATGAACTCAGAGTCCGAAGAGTGCAACTGGGCTTTGACAGCTGGAGAAATAGATGATTTCACCGACAGCCAAAGCAATGAAGAACGCAAATACTTCAATAATTTAGTCAATCTAATGGAGAGAGAGTTATCCCAAATTGAAAAGAAGAGCACTCTCAAGGGACCAAAGGTAAATCTGATTGAAGTGTTTTGCAGTGACCAAAGTACGTTGACCGAACAGGTGAATCAGCTCGGTGGAAAAGCCCTCCGCTTTGGTTTGAACCAAGGCGATCTACAGCAGTCTGAGGGGAGAAAGCGCTTGTTCGAAGCCATCTGCCGACACCGACCCGAGCATGTCTGGGTCAGTCCCACCTGTAAGCCATGGTCCAAATGGTCAAACCTGAATCAACAAAAATCACTGGAGTTGTGGGATCGTATCCATGCCGAAAGAAGGGACATGCTCAGTCAAGTCGCGCTGTGCTTGGTCGTTTGCAAGTACCAACACCGGTGTAGCCGCCATGCACATTGGGAACAGCCCAAAGGGTCCCTCATGTTCATGCTTCCCTACCTAAATGAGTTAAGTAGGTACATGGTAGATGCCAGACCTGACATGTGCACAGCTGGGGACCTCCATGATCCAGTTTCCAATCAACCAATGAAGAAGGGCATGCACATCCGTACGACATCCCAGAAAATGCAAGGTTTGTTAGATCCACTTAGGTGCCCTGGGACCCATCAGCATCAGCCGATCGAAGGTTCCACCAAGGTGCATGGCCAAGGGATTGCTAGATCTGCGTTTTCCGAAAAGTATCCACGAAAATTTGCACGAATGATCGCAAAAACCATCCTGAAGAAAAGCTTTCCCCAGGAGAAACCAGTAGGCGCAATAGCCGATCCTGCCTTAATTGCTTTAGACCAATGGTTCCAGATCAGCAGTGCATTTGCCGTGGATGCTCGTTTGCCGAAGCGTGCCAAACTGTCGGGGCCCCGACAGTCCAAGGCCAAATCCGCAGACAGATCACTCAGCCAGCAACTGAATGTCAAGCGATGCAAGACCCAGAAATCAGACATCACCAGGGAGCACCCCACAGATCAGGTTATCCTTTCCAAAGAAATCGAGGACAAAGCCATCCAAATCATGCAGACAGTTGAACCCCTACTTCCCAGGGTGGGAAAGAAAATGATGGATACCCCTCAAATCATGAAACTTGTTCAAGAAGCATTCCCCGAAAAGATCATCAAGGGAATTTTGGCATGTAAAGGGACTGAGCGTACAATGGCTCCCCCAAATAACCTCACATCAAAAGAAGCTCCTTTTCGCCGTTCAATCATGAAACTCCGAAGCACTGGGAAGATCACCGTAGATGACTGGGAGAAATATGATGAACTTGCAAAAAGAAAAGTGATTCGAAAATCCCAACCCTGCCGAGTGAATATAACTGTCTTTGCGGCTAATCCTATACAGACCCATCAGCCTCAAGGCGACCAAGCGAGCATAATGCCACCATGCGAGCCCACAGTGGCTCCACAATCCCTTCCAGAGAGCTCGGATAGCCCTCTGGATTCAGAGGTAGGCAGAGAAGATCTGAAGAAGGATGCCGTAGAGTCAGAAGATGTTCAAAAGTCAGAAGATCAGATGAAGCCGAACCTCACTGAAGAGATGCCACCCTCTGAAAGCCCAGTACCGACAGATCCAGATGGCAGTCCAGCCAGAGGCAACCGATTTCTGGCGCTGCCGAAAGAAGAACAAGCCATGTTGCGGAGGGCACATCAAAACTTGTGTCACCCTCGGCCTGAACAACTCAGTCAGGTACTTCGAATGCAGGGAGCTCGCCCTGAAGTATCCCAGGCAGTGTTCGACATGAAATGTGCCACATGTGCTTCCCAACAACAACCAAAGATATCTCGTCCAAGTACCCTGAAACATGAATTAGACTTCAATGATAAGATATTCATAGATGGGATTACCTGGACTAGTAAGGGAGGGAAGACTTTTCACTTTTATCACATCCTCGATCAAGCAACAAACTTTCATGTAGCAACACCTGCCCCGAGCCGTGCCGCCGAAAATGCAGTGCAGTGTGTCGCTGAGAGCTGGTTTCAATGGGCCGGTCCACCCAACATGTTGGTAACTGATGCAGGTACTGAGTTCACCAGTAGCCTTTTCATGGAGTTTGCCCAGAAAAATGATGTGAAACTAGTGACAGCCGCACCACATGCTCATTGGCAGAACGGCCGCTGTGAAAGACACGGACAAATTTTGCAAGCGATGCTGAAAAAGGTGGACCAGGACATGCCAATCCAAACGTATGTCGACCTTCAAAGGGCTTTGGCACAATGTACCCATGCAAAGAATACTCTGAGCATCCGCAAGGGGTATTCACCTGAAGTGCTTGTGTTTGGTAAGAGTTCAAGGCTGCCTGGATCACTAAGTAGCACCGATTCCATGTCCTCACTCACAAGTGCCTGCCGTGAAGATGCACATGGCATAGCGTTCCGCCAGAGCTTAGCACTCCGTGAGAAAGCCCGAGTGGCATTCCACCAGGCTGACAATGATCAGGCCCTCCGGCGGGCCTGTCTCCGCAGAACGCGCCCTGATAGGAACGCCTATGAGGTGGGAGAATGGGTGATGCTATGGCAACCCGAAACAAATGGAGGACACTGGTTTGGACCCCATAAAGTAGTAGCTCAAGAAGGTAAAACATCCATTTGGGCCACCCAAGGGGGAAAACTTTTCAGGAGAGCTTTGGAACATGTCCGTCCAGTGTGTTCCGCAGAGGTGAGCCAGATACCCCAAGAGGAAGAGCCTCTTAAGAATCCACAAAATCCAATTCCCCAAATTCCAGAAGTAATCCCATCAGATAACAGCCCAGAAACCACCATAACGGTACCACCAATAATATCCACAGATCAAAGATCAAATTCAGATGACCACAGTCAATCCCAAGATCAACCAGACATCGAACCTGAAATAAATAATCCAAGTGCTGAAACCGCTGAGGGCCCTGAACATGACCCAGCAGTAGAAATTCCGATCCCAGAGTCAGCGAGTGACGATGAGATGATCACCACACACCTGCTATGTTGTGAGGACATCGTCATGCATGTTGATCCCGCCGACACACCCTGTGCATGGAAATGTGAGTTGGAGATACCGTCATGGATTGATGTAAAACATTTAGATGACTGGTCCCCCGATGAACTCTTGATTGCAACAACAGAAAAGAAGCAACGCACTGAGGTGAAGCTATCAGCATTGACAACCGAAGAACAGAAAGCATTTGCACAGGCGAAAGAAGCGGAGATCCAAAACTGGCTGAAGACCGGAACAGTATCTAGGATCTTAAAAGCAAAATTGGCCCCTGAGCAGATTTTGCGATGCCGCTGGATCCTGACTTGGAAACCACTGGAGGGGACATCCACCGATCCCAAAGAAGTCCAAAGTAAGCTCAAAACCCACAAGCCAAAGGCACGTTTGGTTGTGTTAGGTTACATGGATCCTCAAATCACCGAAGTACCAAGAGACAGCCCCACACTGGGAAAACAATCAAAGATGGTCATACTCCAATTAATAGCCTCCATGGGTTGGTCGTTGGGATCCTTTGATATTAAAGCAGCGTTTCTCCAGGGAAAACCCCAGAAAGACCGTATCATTGGACTTGACCCCGTCAGTGAACTTGCCCAAGCCATGACCTTGAAGCCAGGAGAAATTTGTAAACTAGACAAGTCAGCTTATGGCCTCATTGATGCGCCGTTCCTTTGGTTTCAGACCCTTCAGGAGGAACTCACCAATTTGGGATTCCAGTCTTGCCCATTTGATCCATGTGTGTTCGTTCTCAGACACCCTAATAGCCAAGAACTGTCGGGGGTTTTGGGTATTCATGTTGATGACGGAATCTATGGTGGAGACAAGTATTTTCAAGAAAAGGTCGCGAAGCTCGAGTCCAAGTATCCTTTCGGATCCAAAAAGTCAAGGGTTTTCACTTTCACTGGCATTGACCTGAAACAGAACCAAGATAACAGCATTGAACTTTCCCAATCACAGTATGTACGAAATATCAATCCAATCATCCTGAAACCCGAACGTCGCGCTCAAGAAACTGAATCAGTGACAGAAGAAGAAAGACATCACCTGCGTGGCCTGATAGGATCCTTGCAGTATGCGGCCGTGCACACAAGACCAGATTTAACAAGTTCACTCAGTCAACTTCAATCTCAGATCAACAATGCTACCGTAACCACATTAATCATGGCCAACAAAACGTTACACATTGCCAAAAAACACCATGATGTTACCATTCGATTTTTGGCGTTCTCTGATGCATCCTTTGCATCAAAATCAAAACCTGAATCGTATGCTGGCATGATCATCATGGCGACCCAAAAAGAGATCTCAAAGAACAAATCTTGTAAAATCAGTCCTTTGTCATGGGGAACAAAAAAGATCCAACGTGTAGTGACGAGCACTTTGTCAGCAGAGGCCACGGCCCTTTCGACAACCCTGGATCAACTGACCTGGATCCGAGTCTACTGGGCATGGCTGATAGATCCGAGGATTTCATGGCAAAAACCAGAGACAGTGAAAACTCTTCCAGAAGCAGTGACCGTACCCACCTTGAGGATTGATGAAAAAGATTTGGCAATCACCGATTGCAAAAGTTTATACGATCTCACGACACGTACAGCTGTCCCCAACTGCCAGGAGTTCCGTACACAATTGCTTGCTCGTTCCATCAAAGATATCCTTTCTGAAAACATTGGTTTATATTGGGTTCACTCAGGAGCACAGCTTGCAGATGCTTTAACGAAGGTAATGGAGGGACAGTTTTTGAGAGAAACCTTGCGACAAGGGTACTACTGCCTGCACGATGCCAATGAAGTCCTCAAGAGCAGAGCCAATGCTCGAAATCGACTGAAATGGTTGCGTTCGAATGCAGGTGAAATGAGTACAAATCAATAAAAGTTTTGAAATAATGGGAATGTGAATGTCCACATTTCACCAGCACTTGCCGGGTTTTTCTCATGAGGCGTTCATCCAACGCCAATTCAGCTTGAAGTGCCGCAGGAACCGAAGGCTCAGGGAGCCCGTTGTAAGGTGCAGGGTAGGGAGGGCATAGCTTCCTTGGAGCCATAGGGCATAGCAGCTTGGTGGTCGAGGCCGACCGGATATCGCTGTGGGATCAGCGTGGTCAAAAGAAGCTTGCGAGGCAGCAGCTTGGAACTTGTTGTGACAGGTGTCACTTTGGAGGATTCTGGATTGGGAGCTACCCCCATTAACAATATATATATATATAACATGTATATATATAACATGTACATATATATATTATGTCTACATATATATAACATGTATACACATATATATATATATATATAACATATTAATATATAATACTTACAATATATATATATATATAACATATATATATAACACATATATATATAACATAAATATACATATAATATAACATATATATAACATATATATATATATAACATAAATATACATATAATATAACATATATATATAAAACATATATATATATATAACATATATTTATATCTATAACATATATATATATAATATACATAACTGTTTATACGTGGTTGACGTGGTTTCTTCCCAGTTTCCAAAGAGTCCCATGATGGAATCATGCCCATGTAGAGTCAATCATGAAACCAGCTCCAGCTCGGCTGTCAGTCCCCCCAGGAGAATCTGCCGTTGCCATGGAGTGATGCTCAGCATGGTAGCTAACAGGATGAAACAGATTACAATATCTTGGTCATATTCTTAAGAAGAATGGGAGTGTGCCATTCATGCCAAGAAAAATGAGTTGGTATCATAGAGAGGATTGCTTTCTGAAGCTTAGCGGGGAATCCGTGAAACCCACAACATGAGATTCGGGGTTCTTTGTGCTTAGCAAAGTGGTAAAACCATTTTTATAACCAAAAGCACAAACACCATTATTAACACCATATTTTTTTTTTTTGTTGGGCTTACCATACGTTAATTATACCCATACCACATGGTTTCCAATGTTCAGATGGTGTGATTTGCCATGACTCCACGGCCACGGATCCTCTTTATACTCCGAGCGAAGGATGGAACTCAACGTGCTCCGCGTGAGTCACCGCGAAGTGAGCCGGTGCCAGGGGCTCCGAAAAATGGCGAGCTTCGGTGGTGTTGCAAGATGGCCAGCTGGTGACCATACGTTTGTCATCACTAGCAGGACTAGCAGGACCGAATCCAACCCAGAATCATGGTGTAGAGTTTCGTAAGTGTGAAAATGAAGCTTGTGATGGGAAAATCATGAAGTTTGAAGGGAAAAATATCAGCTCTTCAGCTCTTCACCAAGAAACACAATTGCTTCATGTTGCTTCTGGCTTCAGAAACAGACCGTTTTGACAACTCCAGCGAAAAGACCAGCCATGGGAGGCTGGGGAGATGAGTGCTGGAATCTCGGCACTTTTACCGCGCACCCGGTCCCCGAGGGGTGCAATAAATCAACCAACAAGCTAACCATATATAACCCACATGTAACTCACATGGGGATGGGTCAAAACCTATGAAATTACATGGAAATTAGCATATTTTGGGGAATAACAATCCAGCTATATCCAGCTATACCAGCTATGACTTAGGGTACCTAAGATACCATGCACCCATAACTCACATATAACTCACACAGCTTTCCATATTTCCGCAACAAAATCACCACGAGGGATCGAAAAAAGTCATTGGCCCAGGAAGGATGATGACAAGATCCATGTCATCTCGGGAGAGGCGGGTGCTACTTGTTCCAATTGTGTCCTTTCCATCAAAATTGCTGGTTAAAAAGTCGTCATCCCCCAATTTCATTTGGATCAACGCGGTGTTTGACATAGATACCCTCTGGTAAACTAACATAGCTATTGAAAATGGTGATTTATAGTGGATTTACCAATAAAAAATGGTGATTTTCCATAGTTTTTTGTATGTTTACCAGAGGGTATGTCATATCATATATGTCATACATCTGTTCTTGATGGAATCTCCCCATTTTCTGCGCCTCAGGACGTCGCTCCCTGGCGCACCTTTGATGATTGCTGCGGCGCCTGGAAATTTCCTCATGGTCTGATGCAGTTCCTGAAAGACGCCGGGTTCAAGTGCCAGCCCCAGAGACAGATCTGAAGAGTTCGTTGGGAATAAAAAATCCCAGAAGTTGGTCACAATCAAAGAAGCCTCATATTTTCCTAGCATGATATCCATATGATATCCATATGATATCCATATGATATCCATATGATATCCATGATCTCAATTACAGTGAAGAGTACATGTAGTACATCAGATCGCCACCGCCAGGGCGCCTACACCCATTCAAGCCTACACATGGCCTGTGCTCATGAACGGTAAGGTGGCTTTCGGGTGACATGGCTAGGGGTGGTCAGAAAACATGGGAAAAAATCACTGGTTTTCACCACCATAAAATGGTGAGATACCGGTAATCAAAAATGGTTGGCTTGGTTTCAAACATGTCTGATTCCTGGGATGTTCCAACATGTTCCAACCACTTTCATATGGTTTTCCCCATTGAACGGCGATAGTCTTAAAGTGTCCCACTACATAATAACTCCTGATTCTTATCATGTTACCCTGGTACCCAATACACTTGGCATACATGGGGTCTCATCAAAGAGAAAATCACCACTTTTACTGCTGAAAGCCACCATAAATGGGGTGGTTTTTTCGCCACCATTTCAATCCATGGTAACCACCCCCGGCCAGGATGTGATTGGTGTAGCAAAGACAGGAAGCGGCAAGACCTTAGGATATTTGCTGCCAGGCCCGATCGATGTTTCCATGGATTATTGTTTCTGGTTGCATCGTCATATGGAAAAGGTATGTGAGTCTTCATATGTCACAAGGGGGGTTGTGAAAATTATATGATGATTTTCGGGGACAAAACGAAGTGTCCCAAGTATTTGATGGCCATGACATGAGGATAAATCCCCCATGGATGGAGGCAAAATGTTCAGTGATTTCAGAGCTGCCTCGGTAGATTCACATCTATCTCTAGCCATTTTTTCTGAATTTTCACCGCCAGGGTACATCAAAGTCAAGCGCAACGAGGGCAAAGGCTTGCGTCACTTGGTGCCATCGTTGTGCCCCTGCCGTGCTTTCTGTTGGAGTTGACTTTGGATCGGCACCAAGATATCCCCAGAATCCCATGACCAAATCCCGTCACATTTATTTCGCACTGATTCTCCCGTTGTGCAAAAAAACAACCATTATCATCCTGTTACTAGTACTGTTGTTGTTATTATGACATATTATTACTATTATCATCACTATTATTACTATTATTATTATTATGAATATGAATATGTTATTATCCCATAATAAAGAATCCCATGATTGACAAGATCTCATCCTGCTCAGGATGTGACAATGGCCCTGCCATGCTGGTAATGGCTCCCACCAGCCGCTCGTGTGGAACATGGAACTCACCAGCAAACACATGGGCGAAACAACACAACAACGTTGGAACAATGGTGGTTTAAGCAACAAAAAGTGTGATTGAAGGGGATTTAATTAATGAAAACGATGGTTTAATATGATTTAACCAGATTTAACATGGTGGTTTGAGGATCTGACAAAGATGGGATAATAGGGATGATTCAATACCAATGAATTTACCACATGAAGGAGGGGTGAACATCCACAACTGGCTATAAGATGATGTGAAAGCCCAAGTTTCAGAGCGTTGGGTTTTGATCCATGGCCAGTTGGGGGAAAGCCATGCACAAATTGACAATAACTTGGGGTTAGGTGGGGATGGGTCAAAACCCTGGTACCTAGTGAACCCCAAAATAGCTGGTAAATGGATGTTCATCCCACTAAAAATGGTATTAATAGGTATTGACCCATACCCAGGTGACCATTTCACTGCAAAATCAAAGGTCTGTTTGAATGGCCTTAACCCTCTTCCACCATCTACATCGGACCTGGTATTTTAAGCTGAACCATGTTTTTTGAGGGGCCAAGGAGCACAGGACAACAACACGTTTTGTTGAGTTAGTTGACTGCAAGGACACATCCAAATCAACATGCCAAACCTAGGCATTCTTGCATTCTTGAAATCGCCAGTTTCGCCTCAAGATTAACATAATAAATTGGCAAGAGATTGCGATACACGGGGGATGATCAACTTGCCGCCCAGGAGAGCTTTGTCAACAGATCTATGAGGAAAGTGATCGCTTCGGTAAGCCTGCGATGATTGGCACGGCTTGTGTCTACGGCGGCGCACCGAAGAGAGATCAGCAAAAACAGTGCAGCTGGCATTTTTGGAGCGTGGTCAATGCAACAAAATGCAACAAAAAATCATAAATCGATATAAATCGTACCATTTATAGTTGATTTTCCCATTAAAACCTTCATAGTGGATATCCCTAGTGTTTTGATGACTTTTTGTCCCCAGAATTTGGAGAATGGCAGAGCCAGGCTGCGGAGCCAGCCGCAGTGCGTGGCAGCGACCCCGGGACGTCTCAACGATTTCCTGCGGGAGCGGTGCTGGTGATGCTTGCGCTTGGTGAGTCATGCTTTTCTTTGGATCTTTGAGCTGGGAACCGTGGTTTCCCAAGGTGATTTTACTGATTTCACCAAAGGTGTTTTGTGAGTAAAAGATGGTGTCCATCGCCTGGCCGCAGGAGGGCACCATCAATCTGAGTGTTTGCGACTACCTGGTCCTAGATGAGGCTTGGCCTTGGACCCTCCTATGGATGTCCTTTATGGGTTGCTTTTTACCATAGTCGATTCACAAAGCAATCGTTGCAGGCCGATCGAATGTCGTCACCTCAGTCGCAGCTCTCACTACATGATTCATCCCAGCCTGCGGTGGGATGTCGCATTGCAAGACGCCGAGAAACACGGATGCGTTGTCTACGACTGACTTTTTTTGCGGTTCTTATACGGGTGTGTCTGAAAATAAGGTATCCTAAAAACAAGATCAATCATCATCATCCCTATAGAAATAATACCCCCAAATTCCATAGACTGGTCATCATTCCTCAAATGAGCCATTGAACATACCCTCTGGTAATTTAATTAACATAGCTATTGAAAATGGCCATTTATAGTGAGTTTTCCCATTAAGCATGGTGATTTTCCCATCAGTTTGTTGTATGTTTACCAGGCCGGGTACCCTGGTGATTGGTTACTATTTTTGGAGTTATACTACCAAGGTTATAGGGGACTGGTTGATAAGCCATAGGGAAACCTATCTGGCTACCTATCAACCCAGCAACGAGGTTGGACATGGGCTTTGAGCCGCAGATTCAGGAGCTCGCCCGCTATCTGCCACAAGCCACTTGGTGATTTCACCACGATATGTAAACTAAACACCAGCTTTTTGATGGCTCTTGGGGAACCATATGCCATCAAATACCTACCTTTTTTGGGCTTGAAAGCTGAAAAGATGGTTTGGCTCAAGAATTTTGAGGACAGAAACGGTGAGAAAAATCATGTGCCCATTGCTTTTGCCCCGCAATTTGGCTGCATGTCATATACCTGCAATGTCCTTAACCCACCAATACATGGTATAAAGAGAAAGAACAAGTTTCTTTTTTGACACGACCAAAACAATGTAGGTCTGTGGGCATTGTAAGTATTTGATGCTGTGGGTATGTGTGTACAAACATATCATCAACAATATGCGCATTTGCCCGGAAATGCTGGATTTACAGCATCAATGACCATTGAAGAGTGGGGGAAAAGCTTATAAACCAGTGGATCATGTGGGTGTTGGTTAGAATAATGACCAACTCTTGGAGGAAAATCATCGTTCCGACCGAGGTTCGTCAGACGGCGCTGTACACCGCCACTTGGCCCCCAGAGGTGAAAGCGATTGCAAGGCAGCTGACCCAGGCCGGTGCTGGAGGGAGCTCTCCAAAACCGAGGAACTGCCGATGTTTGATGATTTTTGATGAGTTTAGGTTACCATAAACCCAAGAATTGATGAACATCGATGGTTTTTTGGGGGATGGAAATTGTTTTGGGAATTGGGGCTGGTTCTGCCGCAGAACTCTTGAAATCCTCGGCCAGGATCCAACCCACATCCAGGTGGGCAGTGAAGACAATGCAAGTGCCAATGCCGACATCACCCAGCACATTGTTGGAGTCTTAGACGTTTTGAAAGTGCCGAAAAAGTCGTCTCGTGTCGAATAAAAGTGTTTTTTTTCTTGAGCCAATGTTGAGCTATAGTGGGTATGTTAATCCAAGGCACCAACAGTGGTTCTCCAGAGTTTCTCCATGGTTTTTCGATTTTCAAAAGGTCCGAAGTTTAAAAATCCATTGCCAGGTGAGAGTTCGGAACGAACGAGACAAGATGACTTTCTTGGAGCAAGACATCTTCCCAAAATTGCAGAAGACCGGCGGCGTCGCTGGAATTCACCCAGCTGTAGCCACTGATAGCTGGGTATGGATCAATACCTATTAATACCATTTTTAGTGGGATGAACATCCATAAATCCCAGCTATTTTGATGTGAACTACAGGGGTACAAGGTTTTGACACACTGCCAGCTATTGATAGCTACTGTAACTCTTGTCCGTCGCTGTTCGGCCAGGACAGGTGGCGCTGCTTTGGTCTTTGTGAAGACCAAGAAGGATCCGCAGGGGATCAACAAGCCATCTACATTCCTGGAATTTTCTGATCATGTGTGGCTTCCGGTTGTTAAGCAGCGCTACTTGGATACGCATCCCACTTACTAAACCTTGTTTATGGATTAATAGCCATTGTTACACAACTGAAGATATTCCATATGTATACATAACCGGTTATGACATGTTATGACATCATTATGAAACCTGGCTGATTCTAGGGTCCTGCACAACTATGCTTAACCCGTGCAGGCTGCCACAGGACTCTATCAGACGCTGGGAAGCTCATGATGAGGTGTTCGATCGCCATGGGAAGCCACAGGATCCCCAAAACCATGGTTTCTTAAATGTCTTTGACACGTTTGATAGCTATATATATATATTTTTTAAAATGTGGTTTTATATACAGTATTACATATAATATAATATATATATATTATTAATACCATATCAATAAGCCATGTTTATTGGATCTTGTGGATCTTCCGAGGCTCTCCCGCGCTGGGGCTCCCATTGTTCAGCTGCACGGTCTGGCGCTCAAAAATCTTCGGGGCGGTCCCAAGGAATGGAATGGTTTCCACATCATTGCAATATATGATTTTAAAAAAAAAATTAATGCAATATCATATAGTATAATTATAATATCATGAAACATATCGTTTTTGTTATGGTAGAAAACAATATAATGGAGTATGATGTGGTTCAATATGGTATATTACAGTATGATATAGCATATAATAGTAGAATATTGTATGATATGGTTTAAAAAGAATGATTTAGGATAATCGAAGGAAGTTTAGAAGGCAAACTTCCGACAATGTGGACAGATGGAAAAGCAGAGGTGGGAAGAGTCAGCGAAGAGAAAGAGTCAGGGAAGAGAAAGAGTTAGAAGAAGGAAGATGCAGGTGCTTAGAAAGGTGGAAAAGTCACGAAACACTGTGTTTTCCAATGTTTTGTGGCTCCGCAGGGTCGAAAAATAGGCTCGCTAAGCGGCGGGTTCGGAGCCATCTGGCCAGATGGCAGATAACACATTGCACGCTGTTGTGGCGCGAAGGAAGTCTCGCAGAATCGCTTCGTTTTCGATGCCGTCAAGTTAAATGATTGAAGAAGTCTCGCAGAAAAGCTTCGTTTTCGATGTTTTCAAGTCAAATAATTGAGGAAGTCTCGCGGAAAAGCTTCGTTTTTCAGGTTTCAACGTCTAAATTTCGAGGACGTCTCGCAGAATATCTTCGTTTTCAAGCTTGCAAATAGACAGATAAATAGACAGACAGATACATAGACAGATAGATAGACAGACAGATAGACAGACAGACAGATAGATAGATAGACAGATAGACACACAGACAGACAGACAGACAGACAGACAGACAGACAGACAGACAGATAGATAGATAGACAGATAGATAGACAATGATAGACAGATAGATAGACGGATAGATAGACAGACAGACAGACAGATATATAGATAGATAAATAGACAGATAAATAGAAAAACATATAGATAGCCCGACACTTTAACCATCGTTCGATCCATCAGTGTGTTTGCTCTGCCATCCATGAGTCACAACAGCCAAGCTCTACTATAGGGTTTCCTATCTTTGAAGCTTCCGCCACCACCTTGTGCGGAACTACCGGTATAGAATAATATAAGATTAAAAAAGATAATATGGGATGGCCAATCGCTTTCTGGTTCTCAAGTCATTTCTCCCAAGATTGGGGGAGGTATTGTTCAACAAAATCTATTTTCCTTCGGGTTGATTTTGGTCAAGCTTCCCCTGTCCTTGTTTGAAGACTGATACTTTTCTACTTAGCAGATTGCTGCAGATTGGACTCAACAAATCATTCTGAACTCTTCAAGTTTCAATCTCTTCCCTTCATCTAGCTTGAGATACTAAGGAAATTGGTAGTTCCCTTTGATGATTGAGCTTCAAGTTGGCTGTTTTCCATTGGATTTCGCTGAGGAGATATGGATCAAAACCAGCGAGATCATGCTCTCCATGCCTTTAAGCAGGGAAAAGCCAAGGTTGGATGAGAACAGCATCATGAATTCTGGAGTTCTGTTGGAAAGTGTGATCTGAAATACGCTGGAAGAAAAATAAAACAACACACACCGTGCTAAGTCTCAAGAGAAATTGCTGACTCATTTGTGATGAGAGATGTAACCTGCGAGGTTTTGGTTGCAACCGATGTGGCTCAGAGAGGTTTGGACATCAAAAATGCTGGGAGCTCCGTGGCATGCTGCGATAATATGTGTAGTCAAGCTGAACTTGCCAATGTGGGGCCACACTCTAAGGTCCAGTTCGTTGTGAACTATGACGCGCCTGCCAACATGGAGGAGCGATGTGGAAATATTGGGTGGCATATAGACCTGTTTGGACTCACTTCAGACATCTTTCATGTCAATGTACTGTATACAGTAATCCTTCACTTTGGAGTTCTTGGGACGATTTGCCACCGTATTTTTTTTCGAGCTGAACAACAGCCATTTCTCCAGGACTATGTGCACAGAATCGGCCGTACAGGCCGCGCAGGTGAAAAAGGCCTGGTCGCTGCCGTTGCCCACAGTGCCGTGGCAGTCGTGGCAGTGGTGTCGTGCAGGTGATGCCTACACCTGTCTGTATGAGTCAGAGAACGCGTCTCTTGGTGCAACAAGGGCCAATAGTAGCATTCGATGATGGAGATGTCATTCGAAAATCTGCTGAGTTTTTTTTTTGATGTTTTCCCAAGCTGCTCTCAGGATTGCCAAGGGAATCCAAACGATGTTTATCAAATCTGGTCAGGACCAGCCCCTGAGCCATGCCATGGTTAAAGGGCAGTTCTGAACACAGAAGTGTCAGCAAGTGTCCACAAAATTGGGCAAAAACTCAAGATGGCAATCTGAATTAATTATCAACCAGATTATAAACCATGGGATTTTCAGGTACCCGATTTTCAGACACTATGTCGCTATGTCATCCAGACATATCCAGACAAAATTTGCATGAATGCAGGAAATCCCCGCCGACCTCAAGGACATCGCCCGAGGCAGTGTGAGCGCTGAATGGGGACGCTTGGACTTGCAAGAAACTCAAACTCAAACCATCTAAAAAATAAAAAATGGAAAGACGATGAAGCATGAACCATTGATCCTGGTAATTCCTGGTATATATATAGATAATTTCCTGGTATATATTTAATTATATATATATATGTGTGTTTTAACAAAAGAATGGAAGATGCTAATGGATTGAGGCTTTCCAATCCCTGGAAAAGACATGTTTGATCTGGCAATCATCGACATGAAGCAGTGACAATCTCCGACATCTAAGGAGGTGGCGGAGGTGGCGGAGGTGCCTTGGCAAGCATGTTTTACACCACCGCTGAGGCAACCATTGATGTCCTTGACCCTTGACTTGAGGCAACCTCAACGGACAATGGGGTGGAAAGTATGCCCAAGGCCAATTGAATTGCCAGAACTTCTTGCCAAGAAGCAGTTTCAAATGTGGACAATCTTCGCAATTAGATGGGTGGACATAATATATACATCATATATATATATACACAAAGATAGATAGATAGATAGATAGATTAGATTAGACTGGATTAGATTCGATTAGATTAGATTAGATAGATAGATAGGATAGGATAGGATAGGATAAGATTAGATTAGATTAGATAGATAGATAGATAGGTAGGTAGATAGGCAGATAGGGAGATAGTGAGATAGGGAGATAGGTAGACAGGTAGACAGGTAGACAGGTGGACAGGTAGACAGGTAGACAGGTAGACAGGTAGACAGGTAGGTAGGTAGGTAGATAGACAGACAGACAGACAGATAGATACATATAGAATTGGGTATAGATATGTAATATAAATATGAATGCAAGAACCATTTCAGCAACAAAACTTTGCATTGTTGGAGCGCTGGAGGTAATGACTCTTACACCGGTGGCTACGATCCCAGTGGTGGTTGCCAACTCAGGGGAGATCGACACGGGACGCTGGTCCCGTGGTGATCCGTCGTGCTGATCCGTGTGGCACAGGTTGGTGATGCCTCAAAGAGTCAGGTGTGGCACTTGTTCGTGGTGAAGGAAAAATACCCTCTGGTAAACATACAAAAAACTATGGAAAATCACCATTTTTAATGGGAAAATCCACGATTTCTATGGCCATTTTCAATAGCTATGTTAAATTACCAGAGGGTAAAAATATCTATCCAATCTTGCGATCCAATTTGGACAGTTGAATCCATTAGAGGCTACTCTTGGATACTGGAAGGCTTTTTTAAAGAGCTTTCCTTTCAGAACTCTGCTCTCGAAGGTGTACACAACACCTCTATGAGTTTTGGGCCATGAACCGGGCCTTTGTTGCCTCGGGTGCCACGCACCCCTTTTCCACAGACGACCAACAGACGTCGTCCTTCGCCGCGCCGGTGCGTCCGGGGTTGCTACGCGGCCTGCTGGTCATGGTGATCAGGCCGCTCGCTGACCCTTTCTCAACGGGACATATCCATCAAAACAGTGCAGCAAAAATTAAGCTCCATGATATGATACGACATATATGCAGAATGACATATATGTCGATATACCTCATATGGTGGGGAGCTGGTCACAGGGGGTGTCAAGAACAGATAAATCAGTGTGGTCTGCTGTGTTCCTGCTTGTCAGAAAGGGGCAGGAGCAGACCGGAGCAGACTGGGGAGGCCGAGAACCTCCCAAAACGGGAGCCTCCATTTTGATGACCAAAATTCCCCACGGGGATCGCGAATCCCTTCCGACCTGGTCCCTTGAGACTCCGGCACTTAGACACATGCAGCTGGAAATGGCCACGGTATGGGCACTATGTGCACCATGGGCACATGCAGAGTTGGTACAAAAGGCCTGAGAGCCTGTCTTTGGTGCCACAGAACACAACTCCCGCAACTTCGGCTCAAAATCTTTCCCCAGAGCGTGGAATTCCCAATTTTGACGCCGTTGAACGACGCCTGGCTGTTGCCTCATTCTCGGAAGTGCAAAAGAAAGCCACTAAACATTTAGCCTTGGCTCATCCGAAGAATGTAAAATGGTCTGGAAAGAATTGGAAACATGGATCGTTGAGTCTTTCTTTGATCATGAAGCTTTCTCCGAAAACCACAGCAAGGCATTCGGATCGACATAATCAGTTCTATTCAGATATGCCATAGATATGTATGTGTGTGTATATATATAGATACACACACACACATAAGTATATGACATACATGCATGCCTACCTACTTACCTACCCACCTACCTACCTACCTACCTACGTACGTATGTACGTACGTGTAATCTTATTTATATATATATACATAGATATGAGATATGATTGATATAGCTTCAGTGGGCCAGGGCCTGAAGGCACCACGTTTCTCACAATTTTCTGAGGCCGAGATTCTGAGTTTCCGGCACTTCAGGCCCAGGCCCGTGCTGTTTGAAATCGTGGTTTGTTGACCCGGGGACCTCACCACCATGGGAGGCTTGCACTACGGGCCAGGCGGGGAATTGAGCAGTCGCCATGGTTGAGCATCTGAGGAGCGGAGCTGTGGGTTCTGGCAGGGGAATGACCATTGGAATCGATCTTCTCCGGAAAGACAAGGGCGGCAACCCTGAGGCGCAGAGAATGACAGTTGATGTGTCTCAAGTCAAATTGCAACAAGGTCTTGAGTGATGTTCACGCCAATGACATCTGGTGAATAAATGTTATTTCATTTTTGCACCATTAAGAGCTTTGAATGTTTGGCCAGGAAGTGAAAGAGTCAGAGAAGAGACGTTTCAGTCGCTAACTCAGCTGCTGGTTTTTGGACCAGCTGAACCCGTCGCGAACCCGTCGCGCCAGCTGAAGCGCAGTGACATCTGGGATGCCCAATGGCCATCAATGGCCGGCAGATGCCCCGGCAGCCCGGCAGGAGATCCAAAGCTCATTGACAAAGTGCTGGAGCTGGATTCACAATGGGTGCCCCGGCAGAACACCGAAGCTCCTGGTGGATGACTGCAACCCACCAACAGCGTGTCAGGTGAAGCAGAAGTTCCAGTTGGATGAAAAACGCAAGGAGGTGAACAAGGTGCAAAGTCAGATCACTGAAAAGAAGAAAGCCTCCAAAGGGCAAGACAAGTGTCCTGCACTCAGCACTTAAATCTACACCAAACTGATGATAAGAATTGACAAAGGCACTGTCAACTCACACTTCACCATTACCCTCTGGTAATTTAACATAGCTATTGAAAATCACCATAGAAATAGTGGATTTTCCCATTGAAAATGGTGATTTTCCATAGTTATGTTAGTTTACCAGAGGGTAAATTTTGCATGTCTGGAACAGTGACTTGATCGACAGCAATTGATGTGACCTGATTCCACCCGTTCTGTGCCCAGGTGAAGATCTGTTGACGCAAAAGACTGCGCTGGAGGCCGGATGACCGGAGCAATGACCCGTAGGATCCCGTAGGGCCTGTGGGATCTGTGGGATCCTTCTGGTGCCTTTCAGTTTCTGCAGTGTTGATGAGGATGAGGATAAACTCTGATGATGACACGAGTGATAACGATGAAGTATCTCAATGAGCATCATGAATTCAATGAGCTATCACCATCAGCATGGGGACAATGATGGGAATGTTTTTTTTCTGTTTCTTTCTGCCCATGTTTTTTGTTTTGCTCAGGGCGAAGCTGCAAATATCGAGCAGATCTGCGACGAGATGATGGGTCAACGGGTTGGCAGCTTAAGTCTGCGATTTGCATGTGTCGTCATGAAGGGTGCAATTGAAAGCACGTGGTTTGGACTCGGTTCCGAGTCCGGATCAAGTCCATGTGTGGCATGAACATCCAACAAAAAATGCGGAACCAGGATGAGAGTGTGCAGTTTGTACTTGGCATTGGCCAAGGATAAGCTCTTGGGCTCCATCGGCAATATTGTCGCAGCCTTGGCATTCCACAGCTTCAGCGCCGGATTTCGTTGATTTCTGCGGGCCAAGGTTCATGACAGTGTGCCTGTCTCACAAGACGAGGAAAAGGACAACAAGGAGAGGGGTTTGGTGACAGGGTCCCTGTGCAAATGCTTGTTTTTCCTTTTTTTGAGGTTGTTTAAGTGCAATTTTGTGCATATAGAAGCAGACAATTGTGGAAACTCTGCTGGGGCGGAACAACCTCTAGACGTCAGGTAGTTGCGACCTGGGGAATTCCCCGCAGCTTTGAGGGCAAGACATACCAGGTGTGGAAGAGCCTTCATTCAGCAACCTCCTACTGCATGATGACAGTTTCTTTCCTATGGTTTCCTATGTTTTGTTCATCACTTGTTCGGAATTTCAACGTTTTTCAACACCGACTTTTCAAGAACATGTTCAAGATGTGGGCTGTTTGCTGTAGAAACCCCACAGCCAAAGCTGGGAAAGAGCGAAGAAAGTCGCCGAGCATGCCTGTAATATCATTAATATGCATGATATAATGATAATATATATATACACGTACATCTACATCTACATCTATATCTATATCTATATGTGTAGATGTATCTAATGGAGCTCGCCGAGCTGGATCTTTCACCGCTTCGAGGCCAACGGTTTCAGACCGCACTTCGAGCTGCTGGAGATGATCGGAGCAGTGGAGTTTGAAGCCGGCAACGAGGCCAGGCGGCCCGGGAAGCGGTGAGGGTTTTGGGCTTTGGAAGGTCGGAACTCAATGGTAAACTAATAATTAGTGAGTTTTCCCATTAAAAATTGTGATTTTCCATAGTTAACTGGTTTTTTTGGAAACCCAATATTAATGGAAAATCAATGGAATGGATGAATGGCTGGTGGTTTGGAACCATGGAATTTTGAATGACTTTATATTGGGAATGTCATCATCCCAACTGACTTTAACTCCATCATTTTTCACTGGGATGGAATGATGTGGACCTCAGGTGGCGGGCCATCGCGGCTACTTCCTGACTGGTCCTGGAGTTCTTTTGAACCAAGCGCTGATCAACTATGGTTTAAGCCTTGGGATGACACTGAAATGCCCACAGAATGCTCACAGAAGTAGCTTCTTTCCGCTGGTTTCTCTGCGGAAAAAACACTCTGCGGATTCGAAGTTCTTGGAACATCTCCAGAGTCTTATGATAAAACAAATTGGCCAGTGTGATTTAATCGATTTGCTGTGATCATTTGATATTGTTTGCATCTTTGCCTTTGAGGTCTTGCTTTCCTTTCGCAACGTGGCTACACTCCGTTGCTGGGACCTTGACCGAAACGATGGACCCGGATGGCCCAATGGAACTGACTCTCGAACGCTGCAGGCAGCCACCATTCTTCATGAAGAAGGACGGCCACAAAGGGCGGGTTGCAGATGTTCTCCACGAAAATCCGAATAGGTCAACCCCGGGACACAAAAAATCTGCAAAATCGTGGCAGTATGACATGGCCTTTGAAAAATGGAAGGCTACGAAGGTTTCATGTTTCTTAACTTAGTTTTCTCCAGGGATTTCCCGGCTGATTTGTAATTAGAGAGTTGTTGCATGGATCCCAATAATCCCTTTCACCCTAATAAAAGATGGAATTGATGGAATCCAGAAACTCTGGTGGAATGAATCTATTCATTTTGGCGATCAAAAACCATAAAAAACGTCGGAATGTTGGTGATCTCAGGACCTGATGGCAAAGACTGCTGAGTTGGTGCTAAGCTCAGCTCAGCTCTACCGCTGACTTTTCTCGGCGCTGAGAAGTCGTGGCTCTCAGGAAGACTACGATGATGTGCTTTACAAGGTCGTCGAAGACAAGGACTGTTGAGGATGGCTTTACAAGGATTGTTGCAGTGGGACAGATTATATATTCCTGGGATGGTTTTCAAGTTGAACCAGAGCTTTGCTCCGTAACCTCTGGAGCTTTCAATTGTCCTCAAAAGCTCCACAGTGCAGGATCATCCTGAACTGGACAAGTACCTCATCGCAACGTCGGACTGCGAAACGTCAAACGTCATTTAAGTCACTTGGATCTGGGTGATTTTTGTAGATCCATGGTGAATCCATGGTGAATCCATGGTGATCCAAATCAACTTTTGGTGACCCAAAAATCACACAGGAGCAGCCAATCTCAGCTTTCCATCGGGGACAGAACATTGACAAGGCCTTACCAGATTGAAAGAGCTATGCTGATGTTCCGCTATTGAAGAAACTGGAATCGTTCTAGAGTCTGATACTTCACATAAAGCTACATGCAAAGGTAGACGGGTTTCTTGCCACCCCAAGCCGAGCTCATCGCCAGACTCGCTTCCCCCTGCGCTACGTGGGCCTGTCTTCGTGCTTCCGACGGGAGGCAGGTAGCAGTGGCCCAATCCTGAGAGACATCAGACTCTTTGCCCTTTGGCAACTTTGCTACAGGCTTTTTGCCTCCCTTGTTTCAAGATTGAATAGAGGATAATGCAGAGGATAATTAGCATCCTTTCTAAATCATTCTTTCCATGGTTAGTGACAGACGATGGTGGATGTAGATTTGATTTTGATCCCAAGCCTCAGGTCGCGATATTCGTGGCATCTTCCGAGTACATCAATTCGAGAAGATTGAGCAGTTTGTTCTCAGTGACCCAGAGAAGCAGCAGACTCAGATGAAGAAATTTAGTACTTCGCAAGCGCTCCAGCCAGTTCATGAGTCAGGGTAGGAGTCCGAAGTTCTTGAGGCTTTGTTTTCATGAATGATTTTCAAAATCCGAAAACAAACAGACCATCAGACTGGCGCTGTTTGCATAGAAGAAACAAGTAAGCTCCGGCTGAGGTCATGGGATGAGCATGAGTCCATGATTGCCATGGCTCAGGCGATGAAATCTGTGAGAATCTGTTGGAACTGTTGCCGCCCATACAGAATTTGAAGGAGTTCTACCAGAGCTTGGGCATCCCATACAGAACGGTGGCCATTGTCTCGGGCGAACTGAACAACGCTGCAGCCAAGAAGTGCGGCTATTGGGGGGCAGGATGGACCTTGACCAAACAGGATTCATTTTGACATGGGGATATCGGACTTTCAGCAGCTTCATTTCTTGTTTTTTTCCATCAATTAGTGCTTTGTTGCCTCGGAGGTATGACTTGGAAGGATGGTTTCCTGGTGATGCTGAGGGCAAAGGCAAGCCGAGCGCTTAACAAAGCCGTTGAAAAAATCCACAACCTTCCATGGTTCAGAAGGGAAACACCAGGCCTACGGTGACCTATGGTGACCTTGCCGGTGGTTTCGCAGTTTCGGCGGCGATGCGACAGCAGTTCTGAGGTACAGAGAGTTGGTGTCGTGCTCAAACTGTACAGACTATCAGGCACGACATCAGCATGGCCTGGATGGCCTGGATGGTGACATTTGACCATGGGAAGGATGGGGCATGGTGAGGCACGCGCGATGCAAACGAAGTTTGGCTTCAGACCAGAGGATCCGCTTTTGGCCTCAGAAAATCCAACTCGCTTTCGCAGTTTGGTGCTGCAGGGCAGTCACATATGGGTGATGTCTTGGATGCTTCTTTGCTGAATTTCGATTGGTGAATTTGGTGAGGTTTTGCCACATGCTGAATAGCACTCTTTGCGCAACCGCCGCGCTCTTGGAATCTTTTTAAGCATTGATGGAGTATTGAGATTCAGAGTTTTCCACATTTTTCCACAACATCTTAGGAGCGAGCTATGTGCTGCGTGGTCGAGAATTATCAAGAAGAGGATGGCGTCAGGGTGCGCTCATGCAGATTACAAGCAATTGGCATCTGGCCATGTTGAGCCTGTGTTTGTATGTCAAACTTCCAGGTGCAGTTTGGATAGATATAGCAACCTGCCACGTGGCTGTATGAGGTGCCACGTGCGTTGGTGCCATTCCTCCTGGGACAGGACACCTGCTGAATTTGTGGAAGAAATTTCTGAATGATCCATTTCCAATATCTGTTACAATCGCTCTGGGAGCAGGAGTTCTTCCCCTTTGTGAAGACGTTGAAGGAAGAACGACCAGCAGCCAAAAGCAAGGCTGGGGGCATCTGCCATTCAAAAACAAAGTCATACCGAGCCATGCCCACATGGGAAGCCAAATCTGCACATGAATTTCGCTTCTGCTGGAAGGCAAAGAGCCAAAAGCTTAGGAAGCTCAGATAAGTGCAGAAAGCAACATTTGGATTCTTTGATGGTTGCTTACAATATCAACAAGTATTCAGATAATGAAAAATATGCATTTGACTGAGGCAAAAAATAAAATATAGATAGAATCATCCGAAAAAAAAACATAATAAAATGATTTATGAAGAAATTCCTATTATAGGGAAGGCTTTATAATAATTGATATTTTATTATCGTGGCTAAATTACATTAAAAACAATTAAAAAAATATTCAAAAATACTTTCCCAACTGAGAATTATCCTAATATAGATTTTAATTATATTGAACAATTAGGATATATAAATTCCTTAATTTGTAAAGATTTTGTACGTAACCGTGCCCGTACACCCCATTTGGAAACTCAATGCGTTTACTTGCTTTGTTGCGTTTGGTTGGGGGGAAAGATTTCTGGAAGTCGGTGCGTGCTGCGTCCAGGTGGTGTTTTGGAAGACATGTGGGTGCAAGTCAAATTATAAGGTCCGGAACAAGGTCCGGGGCCACCCCCGTTCCATACCCCGGTTCCGTACCCCCGTTCCATATCCCCGTTCCATACCCCCGTTCCATACCCCCGTTTGAAGGATCCGTTCCATACCTCTCTTCCATACCTCTCTTCCATATCTCCGATCCATACCTCATGATAATTTATTGAATTTGTACGCATATACATGAGCGCACATACATACATGAGTGCATACATGCGCCTGCAGCACTTACAACTGCTACCTACTTTGTTGTGTGATGGTAGGGATGCACTTGGCTACTGCCAGCTGGCAGTTTAATAATTATTTGCTGCGTTGCTCCTGCTCCAAACTGCCAATTTTGATAAAGATGTGCTACCTGGTGGCAGTGCTGTGGAGTGGACCGTTTTGTTCCAGACCCCGTTCCATACCGTTCCATACCCGTTCCATACCCGTTCTAGACCCGGACCACCCATAAACCAATCCCTGACCCACTCCCGGATGAATAAGCGGTAGACTCTTACATAGACTGTTCTTAACCTATCCTGTGGGTTATGGGAGCCTATAATCTTATTACGCGGATATATAATTTACCCGATAGGGACTTTGAATTTTAAAAGTAGGAAATGGGACCCGTACGATAGGTTTGAAGTTGAATGGATAGCTTTATATGCTAGTTAGTGGGTAATATTGGCTACTGATTCTGCCTTAGTTAGTATTTGAATACTAATTATATATACCAAAATTCCATTGAATAAATTTATAATAAATATAATATATAAATAGAAAAAAATATATATTTAAAATAAATTATATATTTATTATTTATATTTATGCATAATATAATTTATATTTTATTAAATTTAAAAGGTTTGGAATAAATTTAAATTATATTTTTTTAAATATAACCGGATTATTGTGGAAATTTATATATATAATTTTAATTTATAAATATATTTTGGAAAATTGATATTTTAATTTGTATTTTGATAGATTTGGAATTTTTCTAATATATTGATTTTATTGGGAATTGGATAATATTTAATTTTATTTTATTGAAATTTGGGAATGGGAATATATTGAAATAATAAAAGAAATTAAAGGCGAAGAATTGGAATTATTATAAAATTATTAAAAGATATGAGAATAATTTTATATTATTATTATTGCTATTATAATAATAATATTTAAATATTATATATGGAGGATGGATTAGATTGCGAAATTTAGGAAATAATATTTTTAAATAATTTGAATTTTATATATTTAAAATTTATTTGATTTATAATAAATAATTAAAATTTAATTTTATATTGAAATTGGAATAATTATTTTATGTTTTTTAAAAATAATTATTTTTTTAATTTTTAATTAAATATTATTAAAATATTATTTAAATAATATTATATATTAGGATTGGCCTAGCGGGGAATTACGATAGGAATAAAAATTAATATATTTAAAATATATTTTTTAAAAATAGGAATAATTCGAAATAATATTATTAAATTAAATTAATAAATTATAATATATAATCTGTAGGAATAGTTAATTGTTATAAATTCAAATTTCCAAATTTTCGGCGGGTTAATATAATAAATTATTTATTAATAGGAATATTTAATTCCAAAAAATATATCAAAATATTAATTAATATATTTTATAATATTATATATTAAATTCCGTATAG